GAGGGAAGGAGGAGGAGGCATCAGCCTCCGTGTGTGCCTGCGCCCCTCCGGTGGCGGGGAGGGGGGAAGGCCGCGCAGGGCTGCTCGCACCTTCCCCAGCCTGACACGGGGCGGGCTGGTGAGCGCGGTCCGTGACTGAAACCGGTTGTCGTTTCGGGGCGGGTGAAGGCAAGCTGCTCGCTCTAGCTGCCTGGGGACGCTCCATCTCCTGCCATAGCCTAATCTCCTTTCATTTTGTCCGTAGAAAACGGACTGGTCCGAGCCCTGGCTGGTGGGGTTTTCCACGTCCTCTGCTTCCTCCTAACATGCATCTCTTTCCAGCACTACCGGGTGCAAATTGGGCACTTCCTCTGCATGGGTGAGTCCGTGTATTCATGCCTCCGTGAACTGGCATTCGGGTGATAAAGGCCATGCGCATTGTTTAAGCTGCTAATACTGTCTAATAGCTTCTTTTGGTCTCTTAATCATAACCGTTTTCTTCACGTACTTGCACAGTGCACGGTTTTATGCTTTGCAGCAGATGAGTGCGTGCAAATTACTATTTCTCTTATAGTAACACATGTGTCTGTACGTGCTAAACTGTTATAGAAGCTGCTGTGACCTATAACTATGTATTTATTTAGTTTCCAAGACTGTGTGAAGTAGTGACTTAAAACTCTGGCCTTAGTGAGGATCTGGGATCAGTAAGATTTCTGCATGGTAAATGCTGTGTGTATCACAGCTTCCCAAGAAATTGTTGCTGTGCTGGAGAAGCAGAAAAGAAACTGGCTGAGAGCCAGCAGTTGCTTTCTGCTCTGCCTTATTCTAATGCTGCAGTTCAGTGAATATGGTCAGCTTTCAGCTGGATTCATTTCTGGAGCAGGTTTCACCATATGCCCTGCTGACATCTGTGATAACGGCATGAGGAAGAGCAAGACTGGTTCGGTACGTTGCAATACCAGCTAGTGTTACCTCAGGGTTTATCAGGCTTCAGCCAGAGAATCCACAGTGGCCTTGCTTAGCCAAAGATGTGTATTTATAGCTGACTGGATGAAGATCTAGTAGCTTTGCAGAGTGTATTTGGTTTAATTAAGATGGCATGGATTTGGGTTAGATCCATGAATTGTGAACAGTACCTTGGTTCTAGCCATGGGTTGGATTTTCTGGTGGGTTGGGTTTTTTTACACAGTACCTCAGTCCTGTTGTGATTGCAGGAAGAATGAGTAATTGAAAGGGATTTGCAGGGAAAAAGCCACTTGAAGACTATGTTGACTTTTTAAAATACCATTTAGTGAACTAGTCAAGTGTGGAGAGGAAGCATAGCTTCCTCAGAACTGCAAATAACTTAGCTAAAGCTAAGGTTTCAATAATATTAAGTACCCCCAAAAAGGAATCTAAAAACCTTAGTAATTTCTATACACCCACTTGTAACTGCAGAGTTTAAAATGGTCTACAGAGGGGAAAATAACAATGCCCTGTTTATGACACATTAGGCCTGAAAGTTCCCTGTAAGAATACAGGTTTTTCTTTCTTTAATATTAGACATTCAGAATTTCCAATGACATGCTGTTTACTTTAGAGTCCTTATCTAAAGTATTCCCAGTGTTACTAACGCTAGTTTGAATGCCCAAGGTCTAAGTGCATTGGAAAATGCAGTGGAACTGGTCGTTGCTGGCTTTTTAACCCAGATATGATGTAAACTTCCTGTTAACAAGAAGAGTGCTTAAAAATATCCATATTAAGTCCAGCCTTGTTTGTACCTGAAAAACTGAACCACTTTTGTGATGTCTGCAATATAAATAATTTTGTATTGTAGCTAGTCTGAAATAACTGAGGAAATTGGAGAATTATCACATTGGTTTACCTTGGCAGCTGAGCAGCTATAGGTATGTTTATACTGTGCAGTACCAAGCAGAGATAATCCAGATGATTGCAAAACAAGATAGCACTCGTTCATATCATCAAACTAGTTGTTTAGTTGCCTTGTGCAGGTCATCTTTAGCCACTGAATCTGGGTTTTTTTGCTTTGTTTCTTGTGAAAAATGGTACAAGGACAAGCTTAACATTTAGTAGTTGTATTGCTTTTCTGTTAAACGTGTGATTGCACTGAATTTTCTTACTGTCTTGGTGGCTTCAATTATTGAGTAAGAATATGCTAGTTTTCACCTGACTACTCCACTATACACCTATTCAAACAAAGTCTGTATTTTACCAAAATGCTTGTATATAATTAGTACCCTAACTTCAGATAGTAATGTTAGCTGTAGCAGTGTGACAATGTAACATCTAAAAGGATAACTTAATTCCATACCAGTTCTGGGGAGTTCTTTTTACAGACTTAACTTTGAAACAGTCGCCAAACAGATTGTTGGAAAAAATACTGATTGGGGTCTTTTGGGGTTTTTTTTTTGTTTTTATTTGTTTGTATCCTGAGCTCCTATAAGCTCAGATGGATTTTATGTTTGTTTGTAGGTGTGTTTTGTGATCACTTTATATTTCTTAGTAACTGTATGGGACATTTAAATTGGAATTGACTTTGTGCAATTAAATATTAAATGTGTAATTTGATCTTCTGGGGATCAAGGATTGTTAATGTCTGGTATGTATACATCTTTAGTATACATGGCAGAACTGATGGCAGTTTATTTTTAAAGAAATACTGAACCTAATGTTTTTCTTCTGTTGTACAGTGGGCTTAGTGTACTGCGCTGAATATATAAATGAATTAGCAGCCATGAATTGGAGGTAAATGGTTTCACTTTCATTTTCACATTTAAATGAATGTTCTAAAAATGTTATTCTTCTCATATCATTCCCAGAAAGCATTAATTTAAAGTGTCACTCATGCCGCGTCAGTAAAATATGATGGGAGAGGGCCTTTTGCATTGATTGATATAAAACTTTTGAACAAAACCATACAGTACAACATAGTTATCACTTAGCTTATAATAAAAGGTAGTTTTTAATAACTAGCATGTATTTATTATGTATGTATTTATTTAGGCTTAAAAATCTGTTTATATGGATGGTTGTAAACTGACTAGTCGGAGAACTAAGAGAAAAGCAGAGTAGGATGGTTAATGGGAAGAGGATATGAGCTTAGATTTTTTTGTTTGTTTCTTTTGTTTTTGTTGCATTTTCTTTGGTAGCTATTCATGTTTAATAAGCTGAAGTTAAGCACCACTTCTCAAAAATATCACTACTATTTTATACTTACTTATATGCATAAAAACATTAAAATTTGCCTGTTTTACTAAGCCTGTATACCAGAATTAAACTAATGGCTTATTTTTATAAGCACTGAACTAACCTTTCCCTGATGTAACTGGAAATTATGTGTTTAACACCACTTTATGCAGGCATCTAATTGTAAGTCTTCACGTACCAATTGAGGCATACATGACCTAAATTACAGATTTGCTACTCTTACTATTTCTGTTATCTTTTCTAATATGAGTAACTAAAATACCTAAGAGAGTCATTTCAGACACTTCAGGATAAGTATGATTTCTGATGCACAAATATGTGTACTAATGTGGTCACATTAGTAAGTTACTTAATCTGTGGTTGTTTTATTTAGGTTTTGCACAGTAAGACCTTAAAGAAAAGAAAGACTGGTGTTGTAGTAAATATTCGTAACTGCCGAGATACTGACTGTCTCTTTGTTCTGACTTAATACAGTAGAATGCTGGTGTATGCTTGGGGATCACAAGAAGTAGGATAATATGTACAATGTCCGTGTTGAATAGTTACTGCGAAAGTATGATGTTAGTGAACTACACTGAATAAAGCTTCCTCTTTTATTTTTCTTTATTTTATTTCTTTCAGGCTGTTTTCTAAATACCAATACTTTGATTCAAGAGGAATGTTCATTTCACTAGTATTTTCAGCACCGCTACTGGTGAATACTGTTATAATTGTGGTATGTATGTGTTCATTTATATGGATGCTTTCATTAAATTGGTAAGTAAATGTATGTGGATTAGTTTTAATAATTTACTTATTTTTTAGGTCACCTGGGTTTACAAAACTTTGAATATAATGACAGAACTGAAGACACTACACAGAATGAAAGCAGAAAAAGAGAAAAAGAAGTGAAAACACCCAACACTTTTTTTTTTTTAATTGTAATAATACTTGTCCAGGTAATCAGTCCTTCTGTATGTTTATCCAAAAACAGCAATGTTTTTGTGTCTGATGTCAAGAGGACTTTGCGACATGTGGCCACGGACAATTAGGTGAAAGCAGGTATCTAAATAAATTTGAATTGGCCGTGAAATTGAGAAACCCAGTCTTAATGGGTCTTTCTGCCCTTCATGTAAGATAGTTTTCACCCTGACCAAGGCTATTGGTATTGTTGAGACACAATCTTGCAGTCAGTGTCCGTTTGCCTAGGTATTTTTCAAGTATGTCTTACCTGTGTGTTTATTAAGTAGCCAGTCTTCTGCTGCTTAAGCCAATTGGAGCTGTGTTGTGAATTTCAGTAAATGAGGGATTGTATTCAGAATACCTCAGGAATCCATGCTTCTGTGAAGCGTTAAACTTCTTTATAAATCAAGTTTCATACTTCCTAAGTGTATTGTGTGCCAGTAGCATTTTATAAATAAAATTATCCACTGTATCTTAAATTGAGTTAATTGGAATTAATTTTTAATGAGATTTTTTTTCTTTTCTCATAAAAATTACAAGTTTGGTAAAACCTTGTATGTCATTTGTGTAATTAAAAATGATCTCTGCATTTTTTTTCAATTTACATTTCATGATTGTAATGCCACTAGATAAATACCTTTTCTTAAAACTGGATGTAATTTTGGCAGCAATTTTTGCTTATTTATAGAACAGAAAGGAAGGGGAGAAACTTTAGAATGTTCTATGCAATTTTGTTCCTATTTTTTTTAGATTACTTCTTTTTATGCTTTGCTTTTTTTAATAAATAACTGAAAATGAAAAATTGACTCGTAAAAATGAAGAAGACTTCAGTTTTGCTCAGAGTAACCTGGTTTTATTGAATTAAGGAGATTTGTGGGGAGAAATGAACACAATGGAAGACTGTCCGTACATATTTAGTAAAAGTTGTATCTGGAAGCAGTTAAACCTTTGTGTGGAGACCTAAGCTTCTGTCCAAAATAGATACCATTTAAGACATAGGAAAGATGATCTACAAAATTGAACTTGGACTAATGTGAAGAACAGTTGGGTACAAAAACGCAGAACACTAGTACATTTTTAAGTTTGCATGTAGTTGTGAAATTAATTTTAAATACTTGAATAGTTTTCACAACAGTGGAAATACAGACCTGAAGGAGCAGATAAGCAGATGAATATGCATACACAGTTTGTGAGTCTCCTGTTCGGGAGAGAGCGAAACTGTTTCCAGTGGGCTTCACAGCATTGTGGAAGGGCAGTGCAGTGTTAGTCTGGGATCCACTTCTTTACCTTTTCCATGGATTAACTGAGCATGGCTCTCCTCACTCATTGCTCTATCAAGAATTACAGACAGCTAGGTTATTTTATATTAGCAAACTAAATAGATGCAGGCTTGATATGTTGTCCTGTAATAGTCCATTCTGTTGCAACTCTTGATGCAATGTGGGGTAGTGTCAACTCACTTCTCCATGAAAACACCTCTAGTCTGGTAGATAGCATGTGCCTTTTTGGGAACAGTCCCTGTTCTGAAGGAGTAAATATAATCTATGCAGATGGCTGCAAGATAGGCTGTGGCACTTGTCTTCAGGACCAAGCAACAGGCCTGTTTAATTTTGTATAGATAGATGGAGTCCTCCTAGGCTGGTTTAGAAAAGTTCCACTTTGCTCTTATGATTTGATGAGGAAAGGTACGCAATTGTTCGTACATGGCCCTAAGCGTGACCACACAAATGTTGTGCTCCTGACTTTCCTCTTGTGAACTGTTCTGCAACAATATCAATGCATAATTGTTTCAGTATCACACACTTAAAGCTGTAGTGCCTCATCATACTGAGATACTGCCTGTTATCAGTAGCCTTTGGCTTCACAGCATGTATGAGTTTGATTCACAGTAAATGAGGTGGTTCAGAGCAGCTAAGCAGCAAGTCTCTTGCAGTGGAAAACTGTGCCTTATTTAGCACATCCAAGGCAAAATTTCCCCAAATAGTTCAGTATTTTGTCTTCTTTCTTGTGTGTGAGGTTGGAAAAAAATGAAAATTCCCTCTTCTGTAAGTATGTGGAACTGGTGAGATACAGCAGTTAGAACTGTCCTTTCTAGCATAACATAGACAAGATAACAGATACAACTTTTTCTCTGTTGCCCAATTTTGTGTTACTTTTGCTTGGCACAAGATTTATTAGAGACATTCTCTCTACCTTTGGGGATCCCAACTGAAATAAAAAAAATCTTGTGCTTGCTTAAATTCTCTTTCCTCTTCCTCTCAGTGTAGTTGAACTTTCAGACACTATTTCATTTTGTGTGGCATTACCAGAATAATTTTGGCCTTTCATACAAGATCCCAGGGCATTACAGCCGTCTAACAAAGTTGAAGAACAAAGAACCATAGAGGTTAGTGGCAGGCACTTTATTTTTAATTAGCAAGTAAAAATCCATTTGAGCTGTATATTATCTCTTGATTTCTGATACCACTGACATAATGCGATAGCTAGTGGGTGGATAATACTTTGTTTAGAAAGTATCAACATGATGCGGGTTTTTTTGTCTTCTAAAAGTGTTGCTGAGTGGAAGTATAAACAGCTCCAAATTCCAAAATTATATCAGTACTTTTTTGAAGGATGAACATCTCTGAATGTACACTTCAAAATTGTAAGCTTGGTGTTTTTAAACCTTCCCTGACTACTGAAACTATAATAAGTAAATGTAACAGTTATAGAAGATAAATTGTCACAAACACAAAAATGTGGTTTCCATATATGTTTGTCAGAAAAATATTCCCATTTTCCTACATTTCAGAAAGATTCAAACTTCTGAGTTATCCTCTAGCTAAATCTGCCTAAGAAACACGAAGTTTAAGAGCCAAGTTTTAAAAAATATAAAAAGTAGGTGTCTTAACCATAAGAGAAACTTTCAGAATTGAGTAAAGCATGGCTTTTCTTCATTATGTGACTGGATTTATGAAGTGATAGTGCAATAACATAATGTAAGGGCCTATTTGCTGACAAACCAAAATAATTACATCATGAATTTAAGGACTGTTTTGCCTATTTGGAATTCTGTATGTGTAAGTGAATGAGAGCCAAATGTTTAAGGCTGGTGGAATACCTTTGCTTTTAATTGGGAGATCTGAATTTAGGTTGCTTGCAAAAGAGCCTGTTTATTTCAGTTTGGAACATGCATACAGAAAAGCTGGTCGCTGCTCAGTTGGATCCTTTGGAGAGTAAGACAAGACAGAGGTGATTTGTTACTGGTTCTGTGTATCTCACAGGCAGTGACTCAAATCTTCAGCCTTCCTTAATACAACAGCACATGGTGTCAGACAGTGTGGAAAAACATTAAAAGGGAGAAAGTAATATTAACCTGGCAACTTTAACATAGTAGAAAGTAGTTTTGTTGCATATAAATTTGTGAAAAGATAGTTTAGCAGAATTTAGTTGGCAAACTTCCTGGAGTTTGAAGTTGGCCTTGTTCCCTATGGAAAAGTAATAACTGAGATGAGTTTCCAAGAATGAGAACCTAGAATTCTCTCTTTTTCCACAACCACTGGAATGCCATATCCTTAGCTTGGAGTGTCTTTGCACCTCTTTATGGTCCAATGAATCTCATTATTCTAGACAAAATGGAACAGATCGAATAAGGGAGTGTCTGTTCCTCAGGAGTATTTGATAGCTTAGATACATGTTTGGATATCCTCATCTCCCATAAAAAACACCTATCTCCCAAAGGCACGGAAGGACAGTAAATTGAGGTCTGCATCCTTGTGTGTATTCTAAATAAATGACTTTGAAGGACAGTCTTACTACTTTGCATCAGCTGGGTCTTAAAGGAAGGGATCTACTCTAGAAAAGCTATGTTAGATGGTGGTCTGCTGTGGCTGTGAATGCTAAATGGAGGAAGAGTCTATGGAGACTTGCTTTGTGGATTTCGAGAATAGTAAGCTCAAATCTTGAACTCCTCTTTTTATCAGAACTGGGAATGTCAGGAAAAGGAGTAGAGATTCTTTGTGTGCACAAGATAGAAAGGAATACAGCTGTAATGTAGGGAATGTTCTATTTAAATGCAGCTAAACATTTTTGCTTTCATTGTAAGCTTGATTAAAAATTAGAAGCAAAATGTAATTTTTCACTGTAGATGAACACACCATTTTTACAATTAATATATCAAAATATGTTTCTCCGTTTAGGAAACTCACCTATTGTGTATATTTGTCTATTTAAATGTTTTTAATATTTCTAAATATGTTTTAAATATTTTAATGTGTTTCAACAAAATATAAGTATTGGTGTTTTTCTGTGCATCAGGGGAAGAGATCATTACAGTTGACCAAACTTGCCACTGGATGTCACTATCTCACATGCAAAAGCTGACTCAAAGCTTTCCTTTTGAGCTGGTTCTGTAGAGGTTTTCACCATAGCTTCATGCTTCTGCAGCATTTTGGAATGGCCAGGAAGTCTTGGACTGTAGCCTGTGAAAGCATAAATTGTTCTCTGAGCTCCAAGGTACATCCCCAGTCACTTTCAAATGTTTATTGACACTCTTGCTTCTTACATTAAAAAGTACTTCTTATGGCAATGGTGATGTGCATATATGCTTCCAGAGTCAGGGCTGTGGCGTTATTTTGCATTTTAAAGCTTCCTAATGGGGCAAGGAAGTAAATACCCATTTCGCTAATACTTACATTTCACATGGAGGATCCTGTCTTCAACCAAACAAAAAGAAGTATAGCAACAATAAATAAAACAATTACATTATTGTGTGAACAACATGCAGGAAAGCTTACTGAAGCAGTCTGGTTTGTGCACTGACAGAGATTATGCATGTCTTCCATTTCTTTGTGATTTACCCTTGCATAATGCATCGTTACCAAGTCTGTCCCTAGTATGTCACATAGCTATAGCAGTCACTTACTAAGAGTCACTTGTCACTTCTCAAGAGTATCAGAAGTCACTTCAGACTTTCTCTGCAATCTGGCAAATGGTATTTGACAATGTTCAGAGACTCTTATGACTTCATTTGAGAGGTTGTAGGT